CAGTTCGATGTGACATCCAAGTCTTACGTTCTATGACTCAAGCTCACTCATTTTCAGCTGGGACAATAGAGAGAGTGGTGATTAAGGGCAGCCTGACCTCGGCTACTTAGCCTGAGATTCTTCATTGACAAATGCAAATCATAATTGTATCTCCCACTTCAGGGTGTTGCAAAGATTATAGAGATTCTAGAATCTTTGTCAAGTCCTTGTCCTCAAAATCATACCAACAGGGGGCCTCCCTGGTGGCCAAGGGGTTAAGTTCTGCTCTCACGTTATCACTGCTATGACCTCTCCTGTCTCGCCCACTTCTCCCCTCAGCGGTGTTTCAATCAATCCACCGGTTCTGTTCCCTACTGTCTCTGAGGAATCCTCTCACACACACATTCCCCCCACACACACACACTTCTGGCCTACTCCCCACTTCAACTCAAAAATAAATAAAACCTTTTAAAAAACATTGTATCGACAGGAGACGTCTACCATACATTAAGAGGAGCCCAGGATTCGTCATGCAGTCGCCCTGGGGTGAAGCACTGCTGCAGACACCTGTGTAAATGATGATTTTACGATGCTCACAGCTTCAGTGTGCCAGGCGTTGGTGCACTGGGGTCACACGGCTGCAGGCAGGACGCACAAGACTGTGTCTGCAGATGCTGGTGGTGAGCTCTGGCTCTGACTGGGCCCTCAGCCGGGACCGTCAGCCACAGCATCCACAGTGACCGCTCCATGTTGCCTTGTTGGCAGGCAGGCAAGGGGTCTGCTCTAAATAGGTTCTGCCATCCGCCGCATTAAGACAAAATACTCTAGTGTGTATGACCTTCCATAGAAAATAACTTTTTTTAAAAGATTTATTTATTTATGCATACAAGAACTGGAGTACAGGCCAGAGGTGCAGGAGGTGAGAGGATTCACCAGAGATAGAGTGGGGAGCAGAACAGACAGACAGACCGAAGACATTGCTGAGGGAAGCAGAGGACGGGACAGGAGAGGTCTGCAGGGCCATGTGGGAATCAACCTGGCCGGCCGGGAGTCGAACCCACGCCGCAGAGGCTGCAGACAGCTTCACAGCGCTGCGCTCAACCCCCTGCGCCACCAGGGAGGCCCGAAAATAACTCTTTAATAGAATTAGTGCTCGACAGAAAAGAGAAATACAGTTAAAACAGTGCCCAATAAAACACCCAAAGTTCTCCATCCCCTCGTGGGTAAATGCCCAGCCTAACAGGGTTGGCCCAAAGCAGGGCCATGAGGCCCAAAATCATGTCACAAGTTTAAGGCACTTTCCGGCAGGAACCCCTGGGAAGGGGCAGAGGGGCTGGGCAAGACTGGCAGGAAAAGAGCAAAATCAAAGCAAGTCAAGATTAAGTCTCCACCCCCCCCACCCCCCCTCCCGCTCCCCGCAGGCCTCACCCATGTCTCTGTCTCTTTCACGTGTCTCTTTCCACGTGTCTCTTTCTGCTTGCACTCCCAAGCCCCCAGTGCAAGTCCCAGGGAGAGAAGCAAAGAGTTTCTTCAGACTTCTCTGCCCCATGGGCCTCCTCTAGGGCATCTTCCAGGTCTTCTTCCTTCCTGTCTCCTCTAGCTCCCCTCCAGCACCTCCCCTTTCTGGGGGTTGCCCTGTCACAGCCTGAGCTCTTGAACACGGCTCCATGGGGGAGTCAGCTTTCTTGTGGGTCAAGTGCCCCAGGAAGCAGGATGGCAGCGGGAGCACGGCGATGGCTGGCCTAGGGGGTCAGGTTTTGCTGGTCCTGGAGTTACTAAGGCCCCGTGCACAGGAGCATGTCCAGGAATTAGCAGGCGTGTTGTCAAGTGGCCCGGTGAATGAGGTTAATGAAGAACGATGGTGTTCAGCCGTGTTATCGCCAACAGAATGAAAAAGACACAATATTGGAAACAGCTGACTGAGAAAGTCCCCCATGATCACAAGGCTCTTCTCCTCAGCGGCCCCTCAGTCCCGCAAGAGGGGGAACCTAGCCTACCTCCATTTCTCAAACACCTCCACATGAGAGCAGGGCGAGGGGCGCGGTAAGGAACAGCAGCTGTCATTTGCAGCTGTAGCACGTTGCTTTATGCCGGCGGCGTGAGCATCGTCGTGGGCTTTCCTCCTAGATTTCAGCTGAGGCGACGAACAGAAACCCCACACACAGCGGCTCCAATTTGCTTCATGGCCCAGCCAGCCCGGGTTGGCAGGTCGGCTCCGCTCAGGGATGACATTTAGCGACAGGGGTCCTGGCACACCTCCGCTGTTCTGGGGGCGTTATCCTCAGCTGCAGGGCAAGAGAGGTAACACCTCACCTCCAGCTGCGAGGACAAGGCAGAGCCCAAAAAGCCCTCGTCTCAGCCTGGGGATGATCTGTCTGCACCTGTCTTCATCATTCTTCACCTGCCTTTGCTCCATCGCCTCTGCCCACATCCATTGGCCCAAATTCACTCACGTGGCCTTGTTGCATGGCAGGCCGGGAAATAGTACGACAATAAAGCCACACGCTCAGAAGAACAGAGGGAGGGACAGGGCCTGTCCCACGCGTGGTCAATAAATTATACTAACATCCAAATGTTTGCAGCATTCAAAAGCTCATCATATCTTCCTGATCGCCATCAATTTCAGGGTCATAAATAATGTGCCAATTGCAAATGAGCCTAAATTAAATAACATGTACTTACCAGTGTCAAAGCACTTATCAATGTCTCCACGACTGCCAGCAACTCCCCTGCTAAAGTGTCTGCAAGTTGAGTTGGCAACATCATTCTTACCTGGGCTCCTGCCTATGCATCATGATGAATCCAAACGAAGAATGTTCAACGAGATCGTGGCAGAATTTGGAAATAACTAAGGTGGAGGAAAGCGGCTTGACAGCTAAGAATCCACACTCAAAACTGGTTGGGGACAAAATTCGTTTACCTTCAAGGCAAGAACAGGTGGTGTTTTCTTTCACGTGTGTAATGGTGTTGTTTATGTATGCATCACCTAACATTAAATTCTAGATTTAAAACAGGATTCCTTCACAGCTGCTGCAAGTTTAATGGTCTTGAGTAAATGTTTACAGACGCCTGAATATGCCCTTAGCCGAGCGCGGCATGATGAAGAGGGCTGGGCCTGAAATCACCTCTGTCTTCCTTAAGTGCTCAGCCTCCCTGAGTCAAATTCCTCAGCTGTGACCCGGATTACTACCTACACCTTGCGGTGGAGAAACAAAAAATGGCACAGAAAGCCCTTTATACCAGCCGACACGGTCACACCCCGCGGAGCAGAGAACACTCGGGCTGCGTCTGGTCTGCAGATAGGAAGCACCGACGACCCCCAGTGCCCCCGGGGGCCCGGGCAGCAGACACAGGGAGGGAACCAGATTATGCTCTCCTGCTTTTGATTCCCGTCTTGTTGTCTCAAGCAAAAGACGGATAAATCAACTCACCAGGGCCATGTAGTCCTGGCTTACTCCCAGGAGGAAAGAGAGCACACGTCACGGTCACGGCCACCGTCAGCCCTGGTGAGCCAGCAGCAGCACCAGCGCTGACCTGGTCCCGACGGAGAACCTTCCATAGCATGACTGCAAGCTCAGACCACTGCCTATAGGCCCAGGCACAGAGGGAATCATCGGGAGGGATGTACTGATTTTTTTAAAACTGGATTTAAGCAAGAAGAAATGTGAAAAATAACCCGGCGGAAGCAAATCACCATGTTAAGCATTTCTCACTGGGAATCGTAAATGCTCAAGCCTAAGGTGAGGGATGCCAGGCAATGAGCAGGGAGCTGCACAAGAATCACACGGGGAGACCCAACAACATAGCGCCGTGGGGTGACGGGTCCCAGACTACCTCACCGAGCTACAGAGGACAAGGGGTGTGGCAAGCGGGAACCCAAAGGAAACACGTCTCAGAGAGACATTCCACACTTTCCACACCAAGTGCCCCGGGAAGAAGTTCCATTGTCGGGCGTTTGCATGGCATGTTTCCGTGTCAGGAGGTGAGGTTTCAATCTTTCTCTTTGCCCGCCCTCCCAAAGAGAATTTCACTCCAGAGAAGTAAATAAACTGAATTTGATAAAGCTATGTGGCTAGGAGCAAGACGATGGGCCCTCCCACAAATCACAAATCGCAGCTAAGAAGGCACCTCCCAAGCCTGGAGACAGTGAGGAGACAGTGGGTGGGCACCGCCATTGTGCCCAGGCCCCTGCCAGTGACGAGGGCCCAGAATCCCAGGGCCTCACACAGCGCAGCACACATGGTGCTGGGTGGCTTTGGCTGCAGAGAGGGAAGCACCGAGCAGGAGACGTGCCCTGTGGCCTCACACTGTCGGAGGTGGGCCAAGTGTGTCCAGTGAAAACCGGCGAGAGCTGAAGCACAACTTCACGTGCCTTTGCTAGGTCTTCAGATCACCACCTGCGACATCTCCCCAGGACAGATGTAAAGGGGTGCCACCCAGGAGGGGCCCTCGTGTGGGATGCAGGGACACCCACTATGGATGGCACAGGATGAACTTGTGTGCTGAGGGGACAGAACTCACCTCGGAATCCCAAGTTTGAAGAGAGAGAAGCATCTCCAAGTGAGACCGAGCAGGGGAGCTTTCCCTGGCCTCCGGGAGCCCCTCCTCAGACTCACAGGAGGGCAGAGCACACCCTCCTCATGTTGGGGGGCTGTGCTAGGGGCTGACTGAGTCACGGGGCCTTTGGCAGATTCAACCCCCACAGGCTGTGTGGGAATAAACGCTGTTTCACAGATTCTAAGAACCAAGTCACTTTCCCAAAGTTACCTTTCCCAGAAAGGGAACTCAGTGCCCACTTCCCAGAAAAGTAACTCAGGGGATTTGAACTTCATTTCCAGCATGTCCTCCCCCAAACCGCCTAAACAGAATCTCCCCAAACTTGACCCCGAGGTCATTTTTGTTTCTAAGAGGAGAGCTCAACATTTGACTTTGACTTTCTTCCTGAACCAACCTCTCAGGTAAAGACAGCACTGGAGGGTGCAAAGCACTGCCCTGGGTGGCCCCACTCAAAATTGGGCTCCCAGAAGGTGACAGACGCGCTTTCCCTGGGCCCAGACCTTCCCCCAGATCCTGCGCTGTGATCCACCCAGGATTGACTTTCAACCTTGCTCCTGCCTAAGCTTAAAGCCTCCTGAGGCAAGCCCCAGTGCCCCAAGGAGTAAGTTCTCCTGAAGGGTACAGGGAGCTCACCAGAGACAAGTTTCCATGATGTTCGGACAACAGTAAAGCAACTGCCCGCTGGCAGCGCAGGGCCTGGGGTCTGGTGGGTACATCTCTCACTCTGCAGAAACAGCTCTAGACCCTGCCCAATAACAACACCTCAATGCCAGCACGATCCCGACTTTTATTATTAGTCAGACCGATCACGACGACGAGGGCGAGAAGCAGGCACAGGCCAGTGCACAGTCCAGCACCCACCAAACTCGGGCCAGGACTCGTGGAGGTGGGTGGCAGCGCACTCCTCTCTGGGCCTCAGAATCGCACTTGGGCCCTGAAGTGCATCTGCTTGGTGGCGTTGTTCTTCATGCCCGTCCTCAGCATCCACTTGGACTTCATCCTCTGCACGTACTGCATGTCCCGCTCTCGCATCAGCGCCGCCCCTGTGGCCAAGGGGGCGAGAGACCAGGCAAGGGGGTGACCCGTGAGTCTCAGTTTGCGTCTCATATGTAAAGAGCTGTTAACCTGGGGTCTCTGTCCAGGGGGCCTTGGGTCCCACGTCTGCATACCAGAACTTTCCTCCCTGCACACGTTTCTATGCAGTTTTCACCACCCGTAAAGGGTGTCTAAGCTCCAAGGATGTACGGGGCAGAGGCAGACCGCGCACGGCAGGCAGACAAGACCAAGTCAGTGTCTGCGGGACTTGGGGCTTGTCCGGCCCACACGCAGGAACGGTGAGTTTCATATGCAGATACTCCAGAACACACTGAAATTATTTTACTCTGATGGGGTTTCAGAGCTCAACAGTGTCGATGCCCACTTTACTCCTCTCTGTTCGCTGTGGGAAAATCACGGCCTTTACTAGGGCAGGGGCTCTAGAACACCTGTTGGATGACCCTGGCCCCCAGGACTCCCGAAGGCAGGGCCCATCATCTTTCTCATCTTACAAATGTGGAAACAACGTGCTGAGAATAATGGAATCGCACCCACTTACTCATCTAATGAGGGCATCAGAGAAGCTACATTTGACTCCACAGTCCAGTGCCAGAAGGACACTCTAACTCCTCTGTAATCTCTCCCTTTGACAATTACAAAATAATTATTTTTGTAACTATTCCCTTCTAGAAAGTTACTAGTGTATATGCAGTTTCAGAGAGCACCAGAAACGTCAAGTCCGTACACCATGGAGCTCCGGGCTCGCGTAACCGTGTCCAGCGGTAACGGGGCCTTGCGGCCAATGCTTGCCCTACAGAAGGCCTGCGAGGGTGACATAAACGGAAGCGACGTCCCCCCAGCCTGCAATACCTGCAATACCCGGCTGCCCCAGGGTTGCGAGCGTCGACGTACCTGTGCTGCCGGTCCACCCCAGAGCTCTGTACTGCCGCAGCACCCGGCCCACGGCCTTCTGATTCCTAGCGACGGCCACGGCTCTGGATACGCCAAACCGCTGCTTGTAGTATCGCATCAAGGAGCGGTGACCCACTCTGGCACCTGTTTTGCCAAAGAGCAATATTCAAACATGGACTTGGATAGTTTTTCAAGGCAGAGGTACACAGAATGGGCTTTCCAAACCAGACCTGTACAGATCTCTAGCTGGGAGTAGGAACAGTACACTACCTGCTGGAGGAGGATCAGAGCGAGCCTTAAAAAAAAAAAAAAAAAAAAAAAAAAAGCCTAAGAAGAAAGTGATTTAAAAAGAGAACAGCAAGCCACTGTTAAGTGAAAACTCAGTACTTAAATGCAATATGCCTCATAGAAGTTCACAGCAGTGCCCACATAGGGCCCAAGGAGGTAAGGGGTCTGCACTTTATTTTTTTTAATACAAAGGGGATTAAGCATAGAGAGCGATCCTGATGTTTATGTCTTGGAGTCACAGTTGGTCTGGGACAGAAATCAATCCACCTTCGCTTAAATTTCTGTGGCAACGGTCCTCAAATCCAAGCGCCTTTACCCCCGCGGGTACATGGCCCTGACTGGAGACACATCTCGTTACTGGAGCTCCGAGGCTACTGGCGCAGAGCGGGGAGAGGCCAGGGACGCTGCCAACCTCCCGAGCGCAGCCAGACCCCCAAGATGGAGGATTACCTGGCCCGAGAGGCCCACGGTGCTGAGGCTGAGCCGCCCTCTTGCTCTCTGTGCGGGGAAGCACCGCTGAACTGGAACTTTAAAAGATGACTAAGCCACATTGTCTGGACTGCTGGGGCTGATGCAGCAGCAGCTGTCACGCTACGTGTGCCACGATGCTATCTGCCTGAAGTGAGTCATCACTGGTCCTTCCCCGGGACAGTGGGCCGGGCCGGGATCTGCACTGCACTGCAGGGAACGGAAAAGTTTGCTGACTACCTGGACACAGAAAAGTAGTTACTTCTAGGTGTTCGTGCTGTGATCAGACTCCAGAAGTGACAAACAGAAGCTTCTGGTTCACAGATGACAAGGCCTGAGGACACCAACAGGGGAAAACATGTTTTTCCCTGAAGCTGACTGGTTGCTTAGCATTAACAAGCTCCCGCCCACAAAAGCAAGTACAGGTAACGGCTAAGATCAAGTTTAGGAGGAGGCTCTAGCAGGCAGATCTGCCCTTGTCTACTGTGACTTTCTACTTGTAATGTTAGGGCCGGGTGCTGCAGGTTTGCGATAGTTACCTCAAAAATCATTAAATGATAATGCCAGTCAATTACATATAAATCAATATATTTATCTTCTTAAGCAGCATTTGGAAATACATACTGTTGAAGGCTGGCTTTTAAAAACATCCTTGAAAAGGGCCTCTCTAGTGGCACAGGGGTTAAAATCTCAGCACTATCAAGCTATCTCCAGCCACTGTACATGAGTTTGATCCCTGGCCAAGGAGATACCCACATGGCGCAGCAGACCTCTCCTGTCTTGCCCGCTGCTCCCCTCAGCAGGGTATTTCAGTCAGTCTGCCTGTTCTGCTCCCCACTCTGTCTCTGGTGGATCCTCTCACCCTCCCACACCTCTGGCCAACACCCCAAATCTTGTACGCATAAATTAAATAAATCTTTAAAAACAAACAAACAAAATATCCTTGAAAAGGTTTCACTACTCAGTGCCAAGGTTTCTAACAGCCTTGGGGGATGGAAGGGTGGGCAGTAAAAACAGCCGTGCCCAGAGCCAGCCTACCCTGGGTCAGTGACAGCACCTGACATTAAGCATCAAGTATAATATGTAAAGTACAGCTCACTGGAAGGCCCTCATCAAGGAAAAGTATTTTTAGAACAGTGTGACTAGGCAATAAATAGCAGGTGGAGCTCTCTGTCTGAGCGAGCCACGCCTGCCTGACCCGGCAGCACAAGCTCATGGAACTGCCCAGCTCTGCTCAGCCAACAGCCTCACACGCGATGTCATCAGACAGTGGGAAAGAAAAATTTCCAACTGTAATTTTCCTACGAAGATAAACTATGTCTCTCTCCCAGATCCACCAGCAGTTTCACCTGGCGAAATGGACGTGTTTTTCCCACGAACTTATCCACAGCAGCTGAAGAGCATTGAAGTGAAACTCAGGGAACCCGCCTGACCAGTCATCAAAACAAATGCTCACAGCGCCCTCTTCTGGATCATCGCTGTCACTGCTCTGGGGTCATCTAGGTTCTCAAGTATGGATAGATTTAAGGAACCACCACTGATTTTGGAACAAATTAAAGCTGACTAAAGTGGGCACAGTGGATGGAATATTACTAAGTTCTCCACATTTGAAACCATCTCAAATAGCTTCATGCTAACATCCCTGGCAACGCAATCACTCCACTGCAAAACTGAAGTGGCGCTGGACAGGTAAAATTGTCCAAAGAGGTAACCAGTGAGTAAATCCGCTGCTGGACACCACTTCACGCTTCTACTGTGTTTATGCAGAGATCTCCCATCTTCCCAGTTCACTGCAAAACTCCCCAAACCAGTATTGAGACACGGGAGGAGACAAATGGCCTATAAGCTGTCAGGTCTCCCTGCAATCAGACTGATTGAAGGAGGCTTGCCCTTCAATGAGACGGCAAACACTGGGTCACATTTCCAGCACTGTAGCATCTAGTAAGAAGTTTCAGAATACTGGCGGGTTGTGATATGTTAAGAAAGCTTTCCTTCTGAGCTATGAAAAAAAGGGGCCTCCCTGGTGGCACAATGGGTTAAGACTCAGCACTATGAAGCTATCAGCAGCCACTGCGGCATTAGTTTGTCACAGGGAGCTGACCCACATGGCACAGCAGACCTCTCCTGTCTCTCCCGCTGTTCCCCTCAACAGTGCATTTCAGTAGATCTGCCTGTTCTGCTCCCCACTCTGTCTCTGGTGAACCCTCTCATCTTCCAGACCTCTGGCCTGTACCCCAGTTCTTGTATGCATAAGTAAAAATGAATCTAAAAAAAGATGAAATTTTGGCATATGCAGAAAATTGAAAGGAACAATAGATTATGTGAGGTCAAGTAAGTCAAAAGAGAAAGACAGATATGGGATGATTTCATCTACATTAAAAATAAATTAAAAACCAACCCAAACAAAATGAAAACCAACCAGTGACACTGACAACAGAACTGAGGTTACCAGAGGGGAAAAAGGTGGGAGGTGGGAGCAAGGGTTGGGAGGGAGAGGGCGGATTTCAAGAATAATGGTGGTTTTTCACAAATAAAAAGCTCACGCTGGGGAAAAAAGAAAGAAAACTATGCTTTGTTGCTATTTAAACCAATCCTATTATAAGGTCTCAGCATTCAGTCATCTGTAAAGACCCATCAAGGCAGCAAATGATGTATATTTAGATGCTTTTATTAGGGCTCTTACTCTTCTGCAGGTCACAGATGCTTTAAGAAACCACAGTTTCTCCCCAGAGAAAAGGCCTCTACCACACAATAGTCAGAAAATGTATATGGGGCCTCCCTGGTGGTGCAAGAGGTTAAGACACAACCTATGAAGCTGTCCGATCCCCAGCCGGCCAGGAAGCAACCCACATGGAGCAGCAGACCTCTCCTGTCTCGCCCGCTGCTCCCCTCAGCTGTGTATTTCAGTGGATCTGCCTGTTCTGCTCCCCACTCTGTCTCTGGTGAATCCTCTCACCCCTCAAGCTCTGGCCTGTACCCCAGCTCTTGTATACATAAATCTTAAAAAAAAAGAAATGTGTATAGACACACAGGTAACTTGAAGTAGTTACGACATTTACCCAGGAAATTCACATACTGCACAGGGCAAAAAACTGTGCCAGTCTAGTTAAGAATGCTGGGTGAGGCAGTACCCGGCCGCGTCGAGGTTTTTCCCAAGCGTTTTGACGCAGTCCTACAACCAACCAGCTACTTCACCTCTAAGTCTATGTCCGAATACTTTAAAATAACATGACTCAGCAAGAAGACCAGCAGCGTGAGCAAGGAATCCCAGACTTCAAGCTATTGTCAGGCCACTTTCTTCTTCGACCTCATGGTGTGACACACAGCGACACGCCATGCTACCGCGGACAGCAAGTGCAGCGCTGAGCCCCGAGGCCGCTTCGTGACCAGAGGAGCTCTGCTCATCTGTCCTGCACCACAGCGGCCCAAGGGAATCAATCTTGCCTTTTAAAAGTCACCTTCACCCTCTCGATCCCTCAGCCAAGAAATATTTTTTTGGCTCCTGAATGTTTTCAGATCCTGTGCTGAGAGCAAGAAGCAGTCTATGTTTTCAAGCGTAAAGGGGAGGACAGGCAAGCAAGGCAACACCTGCACACGAGGGTGAGGGATGTCACAAGGCCTGCGGAAGTCCTGGGGCACGGGAGACTCTTGCTACTAGGACAGAATCCGAGCTGAGAAAGGCTTCCGGGGTCACACACCCAAGCTGAGTCTTCACTGAGAGAAGACAAGAGGCAACGCAAGCGCAAAGCCCAGAGGAAGAAACCACCACGGTGGTGAAGGAACAGCCCAGGGGAGCAGCAGCTGCAAAACTCAGCTTCCCTAAAGACAAAGCCTCTCCATGGAGAACTCCCAGGGGATGGTCAAAAAAATAAACTCCTGATGATTTTATAAAGAATGTTCTAGTTGTCAGGAGGAAAACAGACTGGGCATGGCCAGACAGGAAGATGACAGGTGACACAGACAAATGGGAAAAACAAAAAATATATTAAAAGCAATTTAGGAGCTGCATTTAGTAATCATCTGAAGGCAGGAGAGGAAGAGGAGTATCCTAAGAAGAAACCCAGTTTTGGCTTTGGCTAATCTTGGAAAATGCAGTCCCCTAATATGTCTTTTAGATAGCTACAGAGCCTTTTTTTTTTTAAGTTTCAAAACTGTTAAGTCCAGATGAAAATTTCTCTCAAACAGACCAAATTTCTTACGTACAAACACTCACGGGCATGCACTTTTATAACATGCAAAGGCAGATGTGAACGAGGCCGGCGACAGTCATGCTAACATGCTGCCTTACAGGGCTCATCCCTACAAGCCCTGTGGGATCTTATTCCACAGTTAAGGAAGCAAACTTAACGAGACACATCTGCCCAGACACATGGACTCCTCAGTAGGTGCAGGTAGTACAAGGAGGACCTTGTCTCTACCATTACCTCCCCGCCTTCTCACACGTTTCCACGGCTGCTCCTGTTTTATCAGCTGATCATAAGATCATAGACAATAGTGCTGCTTCTCATATTTATGCCTCCTCTTCACACCTGGATTAAATCCTCACCAACAGGAATCCTGCACCCCAAAACGGAAGGCAGAATTCAAACTCAAAGCCTCTCCAATAGCCAGAACACACAGGCAAACCAGGCTCTACTCAGTCAGATACACCCAGGCCAGGTTACCATTTGCAAGTCTGAGCAACATGCGGAACCAAGAATAATCAAAGAATTAAAATTCAAAGGTCAGATAAACAAGAAAAACCTAGATGGGGCCAAGAAAATAAAGAAAAGGTCTACGTATTTGAAAAGAAATGACTAATCAAAGCAAACTTGTTTATGTTCTGTCTGGATGGAAGGGACTGATAGGAACATGCCTCTTCGATAATCTCACTGGCATTGAACTATTTGAAAAGGGAACTTACCAGAAGGCAGAATTAACTCCATGGTTTCATCATCATATTCCAGGGGCTTTTCTGAGGATAATTCCTCAGTCTCATCAGGGTCCTCGCCTTCCTTATGGTCTGGATAGCTACTCCTGTAGCAATGAAAAATCATTAATAAACACCTCAAATTTAACTGACACGCAAAAATCGTGCTTCCCAATGTGGAAAACCCACCACCCACTTAAGTGGGGAGTGCAAGGAGGAACAGCAGCAGAGATTACAAACTGAAAGTTTTGGAGCGACAACAACTTTGTGGCATTTTCTCTGTATGAAAGTGTACAAATGGTCTATGAACTAAAAATGAATCGCAGGCATAAATGTAACACAACTTTGTAAAAACTCTACGGTAACAAAGGAGACAACCTACATGACTTAGGTGTGGTTCAAGTGGTAAATTTTTTAGCATGACACCAAAGGCATAACCCATGAAAGAAATAACCAACAAGCTGGACTTCATTAAAATTAAGAATGGGGCCTCCCTGGTGGCGCAAAGGGTTAAGCACCACACTATGAAGAAATCCGCAGCTTCTGCGGCACGAGTTCGATCCCTGGCCGGCCAGGGAGCAGCCCACATGGCGCAGCAGACCTCTCCTGGCTTGCCCACTGCTCCCCTCAGCAGTGTACTTCGGTCAGTCTGCCTGTTCCGTTCCCCACTCTGTCTCTGGTGGATCCTCTCACTCCCCTGCATCTCTGGCCTGTACCCCAACTCTTGTATGCATTAAAAAATAAATCTTTAAAAAAATAAAAAATAAAATAAAGAACGTCTGCTCTGTAAAAAACAATGTGAAGAAAATTAAAAGACAAGTCACTGACTGGAAAAAAATATGTATAGAAAACACATATGATAAAAGACTGTTATCCAAAATATATAATGAAATCTTAAAACTCAGTAAGAAACCAAACAATCCTAAGAAGTGGGTCAACCACCTTAACCGGCACACAGATGAGAAATAAGCACTGCAAAAGATGTTCCACGTTATATTTCATCAGAGAAATGAAAATTAAAACAATGAGCTACCACTTACCCCCAATTAGGATGACCAAAGTCCACACAAAAATCTGAACATAAATGTTTAGAAGAGTTTTAGTCATTAACTGCCCACATGTGCAAGCAACCAAGATGGCCTTCAGTAGGTGAACGGGTAAATGAATATTTTTCAAACCAAAAAGGACTGAGTTATCAAGAACCAGTCTGAAAAGGGCTACATACTGTATTACTTTAACTAGATGACATTCTAGAAAAGGCAAAATATGGAAACAGAAAAGTCAGTGAAAAGATCAGTGGTTACCAGGGACTGGGGTGGAGGAAGGGCGTGATCACGAGACAGAGCACAGGGGAGCCTTAGGGTAATGAAACTAATCTGCATGAGACTACAAAGGTGGATACACATCATTATACACCTGTCCAAACCCACAGAACAGACACCATCCACCTGTCATCTCTTGATGGAGTATATATGATGGAGTTTGGGTGATAGGATTAAGTGTATACAGGTTCATCAATTGTAACAAATGCACTATAGGCAGGAGAGTATAATGAGGGAGTCTAAGCTTGGGATTCTGGGAACCGAGAATTTATGGGAAAATTCTGTACCTCTTGCTTAATTTTCTTGTGAAACTTGAATTGTTAACTTTTAAAAAAAGGCAAGCAAATGACCTATAACTGAATTCTTTCACCTTTTATTCTCCCCCAGAAAAGTTGCTAAAGTGAAAGGAAGAAGAGACTGCAGAGTTAGAGATGTAGCTATAGTCAACAATTATAAAACAAGTTCTAGAACAGTGATGTCCAGAACTCTGTTATAGAAATTTTCAATATGGTAGCTACTAGTCACATGTGCCTTTAAGCATTGAGTTTTGAAATGCAGGTAATGCAATTGAAGAACTACCTTTTTAATTAACTTAAACTGAGTACAATAAGCAAATTACCATATTAGCACAATACTAGAAGAATCTGTTCCTAAAAATGTTCACAAATGTATAGAAAACAACTGGAAAAATACACACTAAAATGTTAGCAATGATGGAAAATCCAACAGAAAACACAAGACTTAATCAAGCACTTCACAAGCTATCTCTAAGTGGCCAATTAATATATTAAAAGGTTCTCAACTGTACTAGTTATCATCAGGAAAATGCAAATTAAAACCACGAGATACCACTACTCAGACATCAAAGTGACTACGAGAGAGATGTGAAAAGTCAGGAGGAACACGCAAAAGGATGACTTCTAAGACTAAAACTTTTCTTTCAGAACCCCTGCATCTCATGGCCTCTGCACACCTGGCCAGAATGATTTACCTCTGCTTGTGCAGCACACTTGTGCTTGATCTCAGGCATCCTGATGCGAAGAACTAGTGTCACAATCCCGAGCACAGACTTATGTATAATGTATGAATTACTCAAGATTCTGGTTAAGAGTGAACCACCACTGGGGTAACCTCACGCAGAATGCCTGGGACTGGACCAAGTCAGCAACCATCTCAACTCGCTCAGGAGACTGCTTATGATTCAAGACTCTCAGGAAACCAAAACGTGAAAACTAATTTCGGTGCCTCTGTTCATGGCCCGACAACACTGAAATCCTGACCATGTCACCATGAAAAACAAAAACAAGTTTTCAAAGAGTTATTACGAATACACTGCACGGTGCCAGATACACGGCAGCCCCTGGCACATACAACATCGCTTTAATGCAGATCTGATGACCTCACTTCTTCACATTACAAACTACAGACTCACCTAAAATCATAGAAGTCTGCAAATTCCAAAGCAGCATCCCCATCTGTGAAGAGCTTACAGTGGCTTTTGTCGTTCATGTGTGCCTGGACAGCCTCCGTGGAGTAAAAGGATTTCCCTTTCTCATTGCACCACAAGCAAATGTTCCCAACACCAACTTTCTCTCCTAGAAAAATAGGAAAGATTGTTGCAGCTAGATCAAAGCTTACATGCATCCCCACAATTCAAGAAACATGTTCACATTTTGATTGCCACAAAATAAACAGGTAATTTAAAAAAATTAATGTGAATCACAAACTAACGTTCCCCTAATACCTGTCCCCCAAAATGTGGTATTTCCTCATTAGAAGGAAAACTATCACACTTACCCAAATATTTTATCAGTCCCTTAAGATCTGAAAGATATTCTATGTCAGGAATAAAGAAGCTGTGGACTTTAGTCATGTGAGCCACATTTTTCACGAGGGAGCTTGAGTGATGGGAACAAAACAGGCAGTCCGTTATGGGGATGGCACCAAGGGGGGGGCCCTGCCCCTGCTCCTCTGCCTCCGCGGTCTCCGCAGCCTCCTCAGCCTCCTCACATTCCAAGTCTTCGTCGGAATCAATATCTTCCCAATCTTTAAGTCAGAGATATGAAAGCCAAGTTAGTTTAAGAAGAGCGGTCACCACAGCCTGCGTGAGCACACGGATTCCGCGCCCCCGAGAGCACAGTCCCCTATGTGGTGTGGCCAGGCTGGAGCACCCGTCTCCCCCTGATGACTAAGAAATCCCTTAATGCCTCTTTTCCTGTGTATCATGGGCTTGATGAAGGCGTCTCCTGCTTCCTCCCCCGTCTACATGAACACACCCACGAGTGAGGAGGGAAGGCAGGCATCAAGTCAAGGAGCCCGCGCTGCTGGCTCCAGCTCCACACTAGAGGTTATTCCGCTGATCTTGAGTCCCACACCTCATTACCTTAATCAACTATATTAAGTGCAAACTCATTATAACCAGAAACCCAAGAGAACTACAAACTCTGCAGCTGCTGGTGTGGGGTTAACACGACCTCCCCGTGCACAGGGCTAAGAGCCTCCCCTCCAAAACAGAGAAAGGACAGCCCATCCTACAAGAGCAGGTAGGGAGCCGCCCCCCACTCCACCCCCTTAACGACTCAGACTCCGAATCCACTACAGGGAACTGAGCAAACTCCCACCGCTGGCCAGACCAGTCACTCAGAAAGGATGGCGAACGCCCTTCCTCAGTATCCTCCCTTTAAAGCGGACGCCACCCCCTTCTCCAACCTGGAGGCTAAATCTAGAAATTAAGGGGGGCTTGGGAAGGGAGGGGGCGTCCTCCCGCCCCCCCAGGGCCTTTACCGTCCCCGTCCAGGTCTTCCTCCTCCTCGCTGTCCTCCTCCTGCTGCAGCTTCGCCCACTTCCTCGCCTGCTGCTCAAACCACAGGAGCCGGGGGGCCTTCTGGGGGGCGTCGCGGTCCGGGGTCGCCCGCGCCCCCTCGGCCGTCTCCCCGGGGCGCCCGGCCGCCGGGCCGGCCTTCTTGGGGGACGGCTGGGCCTTGATGGCCTGCTGGATGGCCGCGTTCACGGCGTCCTTGTCCAGGCCGTCCGCGCCCAGCCCCTTCTCCAGGTTCTTGGCGTTCATCAGCTCCACGCTGCGGCTCGCGGCGCGCACGGCCTTGCGCTCGAGCTCCGCGTGCCGCCGGGCCCGCAGGTGGTTCTCGTAGGCCTTGAAGGACGCGAAGCGCTTGCCGCACGCGGCGCAGTAGGTGGCCGAGCCCTGGCTCTGCTGCTCGGCCGCGGCGCGCTGCGCCCACACGCGCTCCCGGAAGCCCTCGGCCGACACGGGCGCCATGGCCGCCACCTTGCGCCGCAGGTTGTAGCGGTGCCAGTCCGTCTTGTAGTGGGCGCGCTGCGACTCCGCGTCGCCGAACGCCAGCCCGCAGGTGATGCAGGTGTACGCCGCCATGGCCCGGTGGGAATGCGACCGACGCAGCAACCGACGTAGCGAGCCGCGACAACCCGCGCGACGCGCCCGGACGCGCTCCGTCAGAAGGCGCGGCGACGACGGCCTTTATACCCAACCGGACAGGAAGTCCCGCCTCTCGCCTGTGGCCACGCCCCCACTAGAAAGCCCTCTGAAGTTCAGGGAATTCTCCGACAGTCAGGCCCCGCCCCCCTGCTCTGATGGGGTTGCTGATTGGATAGGTCTGAGTCGCGTGCTGATTGGGTGAATCTGAGCGGTGCCCTGAGGTGAGCGCTGATTGGATGGGCCTGGAGTTTCTAGGGCTCCCTCCGCGGTGGGTGTTCATTGACGCGCGCGGCGCGGGTCCGTGGGTCCGCGCGGGGGCTGCTTCGTGGTCGCGGTTGTGACGCCGCGCGACGTGACGCGTTTACGGCTGCGCGAGAGGGGCTCCCCGGGCGGCTCCAGGGCCTGGACGGTGCCCTGGGGGCCCCCCGGGTCGGCTCGTGCTCTGATCCCGGGAAGCGCGCGCTGCGCCCCTGGAGCCCCGCAAGTGGGCGTCGGGAGAGCGCGGGCTGCGGTTGGGCCCGCAGACGGGACCCCGAGAGCGGGACCCCCGGCGGGACTCCGGGCATCCGCAGGAAAACCGGCAGGCCCAGCCGGCCCGGCCTCCCCGGGACCGCGGAGCCGCGGGGGGCGGGGGTTGGGGGGGCGGCCGGGCCAAAGCCCCCCGGCGCCGCCGAAGTCCAGCCCCGCGTGTCATTCAAACCACACGATCACTTTTTTTTGGTGTTTGTTTCGTTTCGTTTTTTAAAGGTTTATTTATGCATTCAATAGCTGGGGTACAGGCCAGAGGTGTGGGGGGTGAGAGGATCCACCAGAGACAGAGCAGTGAGCAGAACAGGCAGACTGACTGAAATCCACTGCCGAGGCGAGCAGCGGGGAGACAGGCGAGGTCTGCTGCGCCCTGTGGGCTGCTCCCTGGCCGGGGATTGAACTCGTGCTGCAGCGGCTTCACAGTGCTGCGACTTGCGCCACCAGGAAGGTCCACGGTCACATTTTATTAAAAAGCAAATAAAGAGGAACCGTTGACAGATTTTCTTTAGCCCAGTATATCCTAAACAGTATAGTGTCAATCTGTGCTCGATCCAAAAGATTTCGTGAGAGAATTTACATTTGTTTTCAGGTACTATTCTGGGGACCTACTGAGTTTTTTGCAATTAGCAGCTTATCCCAGACGAGCATCCTTTCGTGTACTCTGTGAACTGTGTCCCTGATTGGAGCAGGGTGTGATTTAACAGGAAATATGAACGTTAAAAGCTTAGGGTGTTCTTAGCCTCAGCTGCACAGTTTCAAGGACCCAGCCAGCCCCCACACAGAATGGAACATGGTGCCCAGGATCCCCGCAGCCCATGGCACCAAAAGATTAGATGTTTTCAACATGTTGATAACTAGGGTTCAGTTGCTCGAAACTTATAGCAAATTCCTCTGGCTGCAAATAAAATTCAAAATCCCTCCCCTCCCCCAAAATTTGCATGTTGAAAATTCAAAGCCCAAGGGGGGGGGTGATTAGGCCATGAGGGCAGGTAAAATATTGCCCTTCTCAGAAATTGCTAGCTGTTCCCCTCCTGCCATGTGCAAATACAAAAAGGCAGAGACCAGGATGGTGCCTAAAAAAAGACTATCTTGGCACCCTCACCTGGATTTTTAGCCTCTAGAAACATGTGAAATAAATTTGTTTTTAAACCCCTTGGTCTGTGGTACTTTGTTAGAGCTGTCAAACAACTAAGGCGCATTTTATTATAAGAGGCCCTTTATGATCTGTCATCACCCCTACCCAACCTCTCATCTCCCACCACACCCGATTCCACACTCTGCTCACCCACTTTGGCCACATACTTCTGATATCCTCTAACAGGGCTAAGCAAACATCTTTTTGGTAGTACTAAGTCATAGAAACCGTTTACTCTTGTTTGGAACATTCTTTTGTCGGCTTGCTCTTTTCAGTTCTCCACCTAAATGCCTTTTCAAGAGTCCCCTCCCTGCCCTTTTGTCCAAAATAGTGCCTACCCACAACTGTTAAGTCTGCAATAAGCATAGCTTTTCTGTTTTTGTATATTGTATATATTATTGTATTAGTAATTTTTACTGTGTCACTTTATGCCCTCATTTAGCAACTTAAAACAATATCTTGTCTCAGTTTCTATAAGTGAGGAATTTGAGTGGCTCATGAACATGAGCACCAGGGGGGAAGTGATGTGAAGGTTTGACTATGGCTGAATCATCCCCCTGCAAGGGGACTCAGTTACACACTGACAAGAGGCTTGGATTCCTCACCAAACAGACCTCTGCATGGAGCTCCTTGTCCACGCATATGTCCTCAAAACAAGTTATGTCCTCAGAGGGTGGCAACCGGCTTCCCCAAAGCCTGGCTTTGGAAGTCACGGTCATTTTCACAATGTTATGACTTAGGAAGTCTGGCCCCATTTCATGTGGGAGGGGGCCATATAAAGGTGTGAGTGAAGGATCATTTTGGGAGACTAATTACCACTTGCTTTTGTTCACTGTCTACCAGTTCTAGCACGGAAAGTCCAGGGTCTCAGGTAACCCCTCAATCCTGGGCAGACCAGGTAGTTAGTCACATCATATGTTAGTCATCTGCCTACTGGCTACACATTAAAAAAGAAGAGAGAAAACACTCATAAACAGAATCACAAATGAAAAAGGAGAGCTTTCTATCTTCAGAAATGCTACAGATAACAAAAAAATATAAAAGATCATAAGGGATTACTGTGGACAATATGCCAACAAACTCGATAACCTTCAAAGAATGGATAAATTTCTAGCTCAACTGGAGGTGATACTAAGTGAAATAAGTCAAAAAGGAAAAGACTAATACCAGATGATTTCATTCATATTTGAAATATAAAGAAACAAAAAGGGACAAAACTAAACCAAAATAGACCCTTAAAATCTGACTGTAAAATTGAGGTCGCCAGAGGGGAAGGGTAGGAATGGGGAGCAAAGAAGGGAGAGGGCCCATTGGGAGGATTATATGGCTTTGGTGGTGAGCATGGTGTGGTAACATACGTCTGAAGAGGTCTGCATCATATAATTTTTTGTGAACCAGTGTTATCCCAATTAAAAAAAAAGTTTAAAAAGTAAAATAATGATTAAAAAAATGCCAAGTATTAGATTATATTGGAAAGAAAAGTTTAGGGTCAGACTGGTTTTTCCCCTTACTAGTTTTATAATCTTGGACAATTTATTGAAACCTATCTTTCTGAAAAAAATACTCTAATAACCCCTTAATTGCAGAGTCATGGGAGTACAAATGATCCTAATTGTAATTGAGTGTAGCCCATGGATTAGGCTAAGGGTTGGCAAACATCTCCTATAGTCACATCAGGTAGTATATATTTTAGGCTTTGGGGCCTGTGGACTGTCAGAACTATTCAATTTTGCTGAAATAGCATTAAAAACCCTGTTCCAATAAATCTTTTATGGACTCTGATTACTGAATTTCACATAGTTTTCACATCATAAGATACTCTTCTGATTTTAACTCTATAAAAACATAAAAAATCATTCTTAGCAAGCACAGTGGCTTGTATTTGGCTCCAGGCTGTATTTTGCCAATCCCAGTCTTAGACATTTAATCCTCAAAACAACCTCTGAGCTAAGTGCTATGAATTGTATTGATGAAGGAAGCAGATGTTTGGCGACTTGCTCGGAGTCCCATGGTCAGTGTCAGATTCACTATGACTAGCAGAGAACCTCACACATGGCCCACACACGTCGGGAAGACATTTGCTCAACATTTTCATCAATTTATTCCAGAGAATTTATTGGACGATAAAGCCCACACAGTGCCGAGTCATTAAATGAACTTGAGAGTTCTCTTGTAAGCAAGTATCTGATGATAGCCTTAGGTTTGATTTAAAAGGCAGCTTCGCTGAAACACAGGAAGGGAGTAAAAAAAAAAAAAAAAAAAAAAAAATCAACCATGTTGGTTTTCCTGCTTTTCCCCTGGAAGTGCTCCAGACACTTTAAAAAATTCCTTCTCAAAATACCTGCATGAGAAATTAAGAATTAGCTTCCTTATTTCTGTTTTTTTTTTTTTTTAAAGATTTATTTATTTATATAAGCACTGGGTACAGTCAGAAGCGCGGGAGGGTGAGAGAATTCACCAGAGTCAGAGCGGAAAGCAGAGCAGGTAGAGTGACAAAGTACACTGCTGAGGGGAGCAGCGGGTGGCAGGAGAGGTCTGCGCGCCATGTGGGATCCTCACCCAGCGGCCTAGGATCGAACCTGCAGAGGCTGCGGGCAGCTTCGCAGCCCGGTGACCGCTGTACCACCAGAGAGGCCCCAGAGTTCTTATTTCTAACATTCTATCCCAATTTAAATGTTGTGATGGAAATGGAGGAATACATAAAAATATAACCCTGAGACTTTATAACTTCATCATGATACAAATGAGATTTGACAATAGTTCAGTAAGAGTTTTCAGAATAGGGCCTCCTTGGTGATGCAGGGATTAAAGTCTCAGTGCTACCAAGTCCCAGCCAGGGAGCTGACCCACATGGCACAGCAGACCTCTCCTGTCTCACCTGCTGCTCCCCTCAGCAGAGTATTTCAGTAGATTCGCCTGTTCTGCTCCCCACTCTGTCTCTGCTGAATCCTCACACTCCCCCTGCCACACACACCCCTCTGGCCTACACCTCAGCTCTTGAATACATAAATAAATCTTAAAAAAAAACAAAAAACAGAAAAGAGATATGTTTAAATCATTTTCTTAAATGTAGACATCTCACCTGAAAGCAGCCGTATGCCAGCGTTTGCCACTTTTTGAAAAGGAGGAGTTGCACTTACATCAAATGCTGGAAATGCCTAGATATGTTAAAGATATTTGTCAGCTGCAATATCTTCTTTTCTTAATATTCTACTAGATGAGGGAGGGGGCAATTTTTTAAAATTCACTTTTGAAGGTTTTATAGAAAAAAGCAAAGATGTTTCAGAATAAGAAGATAAAATGCTTTTAAGCCTGGATTGTTAAGTTTGAACTTCTGGAGCCCTTCCTTTTTGTTTCAAGTCAAAATTTATAAGCAATATATGCTAGTTTCCATTGTATGGTTTTCCTTAGCCATTTCTAGTAAGTGCAAAACATTTCCCTACAAATCCTCTATTTAAAAAAGATTGTTGTATCACATTCTGATGACTGCACAAATTGTCAAGGTTAAAGGACATGCAACAGTCGCCACTGTACTGGATTTCTTTTTTTTTGTTACTATACCTTAAAACCAGATCTAAAAAGGTTCATGTAAATCAGAATTACACATATCCGCCCCTCCAAAGAAAAACTATACACATACATACACAGAGAGAAAGAAACCCTCAACATCCCTGTTGGTTGGAATTGAGTGCCAGTGTTGCTTTGTGTAAATTCATAATCACATGTGGAACATTGTCATGTACATGTTATGTTTCTCTGTCCATAGAGCTGGTGTGTCACCTCTATAGTGCTGGTAACATTCTTCTACCCTGTGAAACTCTCCAGCCCAAGACCCTTGTAGCATTTATAGCAACATTTGATTCTAGCTTTACTGTTCATACCATCAGCCCTTTATCTTTTTGTAAGCTTGTCCGGTGGCTTGAATGATGATATTGAAAAGACCTTTAGACTTATTGAATCTATGGCCAAGAATGCTTTTTTGGATGAAGAAACAGACACGTGGAGAAAAAAAAACCAAGTCCCAGTAAAAACTACTTTATAAATATGTGACTGTATTTTTCTTCATGTCCAGAAACTATAATTGAATAGAATTCAGGTATATTCCTCCAAAACCCACAACTTCAAAGATCTAACACCAAGTTTTCATTTGTACCAAAATGGGCAAGATAATGAAGGCACAGGCTCACTTTGTATCAATAAAGGACATCAAACACAGTCATGAGGCACTAATGACATGAAAGCTAAGTCAATCACAAAAAGCAAGTGTCCAAAGTCCAGTAACTTCTCTCCCTTTAACATTTGGCAAAATTCAGTCTAGATACTTTAATACCTCAGAAAGAAAAAATAAATAATAGATGCTATGTTAAAATATCAGATTCCCTATGATTAGTCACTAGAAATATAAGAAAAGAGATAAAATGAAGGGAGAGGAGCAAATATTTATATCCTTGGATTATCCTTCCTTTCTGAGGGTCTCAGATGTCCGTGTGCATCTGCAGAAATGCCAGCTGTACCTGAAGATTAAAGAGATTGCTGGTAGTGGCCGACATGGTCCCTCAACACTATTAAAAGTTTGTGTCACAAAAACAAAATCAGCTTGTTTTCTGCTTTCATCCTCTTAAAAATCTACAAATTTGGTTAAAGGTGATCTAAAAATTTAAAGGAAAAATATATTCTAGTTTTCCAAGAAGAAACAGATTACATATTCAGACTTCAAGGGCAAATAAATACATTTTAAAGCCAAGCAAGTGCCTCCGCTGTAGGAATTTCTACAGAGTATGAAACAGAGTCATTGTTTCTCTGCTGCCGATGACACACAGCATAGCACACGGTGGGAACTAGTTTCACAATTTTAAGAGACTTTCTCCATGACATCATAAGAAAGATGAGAGTTCGACCGGTCTGGGCGAGCAGAAAAAATCTGCACTCACGACATCCCTACTACAAATACAGGACAATTAATTGAACAACAAGCACGACTCAATCTCTGTTAATGTCATAACCACCCTCTAAGTGATATATAATGACTTGCTTTCTATGGGTTAATAGCACCCATAGCAAGATTAGGGCTGGCCGTGGATGGAGCATGCCATTTACAACAAGCCTGAGTCAATGACTGCAGGAATACATGGACATGGACCAGCCTATTTAAAGTAGTTAAATATATTTTTATGTTTTTTCTTAGGAAGTTAATCTTGATAGCATTTCCCAAGTCCTTCAACTAAGGACACCTCGATCATGTTGCCTTTTGACATCAGAAAGTACCCCAAATTCTTGTCTCTAAGTGTTAGGAACAAAGGAGTTGGTATGACATGTATTCACAAGTAATTGTCAGTATTTCAGGGAGTTACAAGGAACTGTCTTTTTTGCATGCTTGAAAAATATATTTTAAGGAAAAATTAAAGGATACTTATAGGAGGATCTCAATAAGTTGATGTTTTTTTTTTTTGATTTAAAAACAACTCCTAATATTCATCTCTGACATCACAGCATGTATGCATAGATATATAAAGTTCACTTCCATGCTAGTTACATAAAAACTGTCAGCAAAATAACAATCTATAATGTCACTCGATGTGTGCAATTAATTCACTGCAGTAGGGGAAATAAGAACCCCCCCTCCCAAATCTAAAGTAATCAGCAAAGCTCACAGTTCAAAACTTTTTTTTGCTTGTTTGAAATTTTTTGGTAGTTTATCTGTGCTCTGTTGTACAAGTCAACTCCCAGACTAATGGCCGCCTCCCAACAGATTTGAAAGGAAGCCTGAAGACTTCTTACTTTGCTGTGCTTCCGCCTCCTGGTCTGCTGAAAGTCCCAATTCACTCTCAATTTGGTCAAGCTCTGACTGGTCAAGTAGTTCAAAGTCATCACCTTCTTCAGTGTCTGTGTCCTCTCCCGGACTGGGGGCAGCGCGAGAAAGCATTGGCTGCACACCCTCTAACTGGTCTCTGACAGCAGCCGCCACTGCAGCCGTGATCACCTCCCCAGCCAGGCTGCTCACCAAGTGAGCTGCTTGGTCACTGCTCAGAGGAAGGGTAAGACCAGCAGCCTGCGGCCTTTCTTTGCCGGGTCTGACACTGCTCTCCAGCTGTTCCTTTTTTCGCTTGAGCGTGGCGGGCAAGCCAAGGCTTAATTCATCTTCATCATTGGTTCCTGTGCCATTTTCTAGAGATGGAAGATCTGAAAGGTCTTGAGAGAAAACTTCCTCACCAGGTCGGTCGAGATCTGTGAAATGTGCAACAGAAGGTCATGTGTAAGCTCCCTAATTAGGCTGAAATGAAAGAGTGGTCTAGACCTGATTTGAATCTGAATGTAAAGGACAACCTTGACATTCTTGAGCCTTCTGTGTCAACTTCAATCGACTTACCCATATATTAGACCCCTCCCAAACTGGTGAGGCTCTCTCCACCAGGACACAAATACAAATCCCCCTCCACCAACATCTTCAGCTTTCTTTTTAAATTCAGTAGTGTTGTTGTTTTTTATTTAATATTGTTACTTAAAGATCAAGCCTTCTCGGGCCTCCCCTGGTGGCGCAGTAGTTGGGCGCTGGGCTGCGAGGCTGCCCGCAACCTCTGCAGCGCCGGTTGTGCCCTGGCCTCCGGCGAGGGTCCCACCAAAAAAAAAAAAAAAAATCAAGATTTCTCGCTTTAGCCGGAGGTTTTAATTAAAATGTTTACCTTATTTCGCTGAGCATGATCCCTTCCAGCGCATGCTCAGCGAAATAAGCCAAAAAGAAAAAGAAAAATACCGGATGGTCTCACTCATAGCAGGAATCTAGAAAACTTAAATAAGGGACCAGGAAAATGAATAACTATAAGAAAGTGAAAATCAAAAAACAAAAAACTATGAACCAGAGACACTTTTTTGGGGGGTGGTGGGCGGGAGGGGAGGGATTGGGGTCAGAATGGGGGGGTTGCAATTGTATGGGGAATATAAAAATAAAATTATTTTTAAAAAAATTTAAAGAATACTGATATTATTATTAAAAAAAATTAAAAATACTGATATTATTATTAAAAAAATAATAATAAAATAAAATGTTTACCTTAAACAAACACTTGCTGCTGGGGAGACAATCAACTTAAGTCAATGTAAATGTGCATGACCACAAAATTAAATATTTCAAATGGAGGTACGCATCAGTTCTGGGATAGCAGTGGAAAGTATGATTGGATTTTAGTGTTTTTCATCCATGGAGTAGCTGTGACTTGTTTGTTTAAAGCAGTAAATAAGAAGCTACTACTCCTCCCATTCCATGTTCAACCCAACATTCATGCATTTGGCTGTCCATAAACACAGCTGCAATGGACTGTACCCTTTTCCTCAAACTCTTGTCCAAATATATACAGAAACACTTGAAGATTTGGGGCACCTGAAAGCAATGTCGGGTTTGTAGACAATGAAATATTGTTTCACTTTTCAGAGAAAAAATGTTCAGTAATAGGTCAGCAGTTCAGTTGTTATACTAAATATTTTCGATGAACAGTTAAAACCAGACTGAAATTTTGATAGGCAAAGAAAACTCTTGAAACAGTGATGTGAAATCTTCAACTTATTAACGAAAAGTCTTCAGCATAGGTGGGAGTGTGTTACTCCATAAATAGAGCTGAAATGGACTGTACCCTTTTCAAACTCTTGTCCTAGAGTTTTTTATGGAGTTTGTTATATGAATGAGATTGGAAACTGAAGAACCAAGCGAGGGTTGTTGTTTGAGTAAGCCTCAGTGATGGTCTTCTAACGCACTTTAAAGATAAGGAAAGTGAGGTCCATAGTTCCTTCAAGGTCACACAGTTAGCCAATGACCAACACAAGACTGTACTCAGGTGTCCCAATATCCAAACCCATCTCCTTTCAAGCCTCCCTCCTTCCTCTAGAAACAGAAAGCATGTTCTTGTTTGTAAAACAGTGTACTCATAACCCTCCATTATGATCTGCTCATGTTTTCAGTATGTGACTGAAAGACCTGACATGACCAATGTAACCAGCAAAAGCTAAGCTCCTGTACTGCTGTTCCCCAGCACCTTCACTCACCAATCTACTTGTATCCAATGAACTTCAATAAAACAGTCAGTGAAATTCCTTTGTATGGTCTTGACAAACCGCAGATGACAGGGGTCCCTAGGGATAGCCTATGAGCAGTGGCTGTGTCGTCTAGGACTGTATAAGGACACCATGTTATTCTCACCATGATAAAATGGTCTGATGATGCTTCTCAGAATTCATCTGACTGATAAGCAAGGCATGATTGTATAGCTATGCCACGTTTTGTTGACCCATGCAGCAGGTGACAAAAGTTAATTATACGTGCATGCATTCACCAGAATAAAATATACAGAGCATCTAGAAATGGGCGCTTACCCTCAGAAGTGTCTGTCTGTGGCGTGTATCCTTCTGAAAGGTTGAAGGTCCCGTTGTCAGTCCAGGAGACCTCGGATACATCCGTGTCGGACACAGACAGCTCCTTGGCAGCAACAGTGAGGCTGATCTGTATTAAGGTAAATGTCAGAGGCACTGTTTAAACTTCGGCAGGAAACATTTTTGAAAAATTCATACAAATACCAAAAATGTCAAAATGAAAAAGATGAATATTTTCTTTTCAAAACTGTTCAAATCACTTATACACAACAGATGTCCACTGGGGAAAAACTATGATTTTCATGCATGTAAATAAATTTACAGTCAAAACACACCAGAACAAATTGGAAACAAAACAAAAACTACCTTAGGACAAAGAGCTGAAAAGTCTAATTCACTGTCATCTTTGTGGCTTTTTTCTTTATCTGCTTCTGTGGAGGAAAAGAAAATTAGAAGCTTTCAGTTTCCTGGTCTATTTAGACATGATGTACTTTCATCTCTACCCCATGATTTCTCATAGTCTTCACTGCCTACATATACTATAGTTAGATGCCTGCACATAACAAGTCGCACATATTTGCAGGTATTTGATTTCCAAAGGAAAGAGCCCTAAGAGCAGCGGTTCAGACAGTGTGGCCTCACACCAGCAGCATCAACAGAACTGGGAACTTTTTCAGAAACGCAAATGATCGGGCCCTACCCTCGACCTAGAGAATCCAAAGTGCTGCGGTAGATCCAGAAAAGCTATGCTTTAATAAGGCATTCACACAATTCTGAAGCTTTGCTAGAGTCTGAGCACTAATAAGGTCAAGTCTAAAGAAGGAAAATAATCACAATGGCTGTTCCTTCAATCCCCTCTTAAAACAATTTTTAAAAAATAAATCAAATTAGCAAAGACAGAAAGGTTGAACCCTTTACTCCCTTCACTGACAATTTGGACTAAAATGTCACAATTTATTATACGCTTAAGAAAAATAATATCTAAATACAAAAAGGCTATGTTCTTTGGGGGAATTGTCTTCTGTAATAACATTTAGTAAAAGGCTAAGAGCACCTGAAAAGTAGTAACAATGATTTCGTAATACGTAACCTGCTGATATTGCATGCATTGGAGTCTAGAATCCAAACATTTACCTACCAGATCGCGCACGCTTCTTCTGATTAATATAATCTCCGATCCCAAAATCTAGTTTCAACAAAACTGACTTGATTTTGCTGTATATCTTTTGTCCAATTTCATTACACTTAAAGAGCGGACACAAAAATGCACACAGTACTGAAAAATACAGAAGAGAATACAGGTAAGACGACCTTTCTTTGGAAAGGCTACATCTTCATAGTTCACAAAAATATTTCATTTCTTTTACTGACAAGTAGAAGGTATTTTTCCTCAGGAAGATGCCTCTGTGAATTAAGTTCTAAATTTCTATTCTTTCCCCTGTAGCAAAAACATTCGCTTACTTGCCTGTACATGCAAGCACACGCACACAACTTAGCCATTTTCAAAGATAGCAATTATATCAAATTTCTCCCTTCCATCCTTTTATCTCAAAAACTTACATAAAGATACATGCTTTCCATAAAATAGTCCTGAATTAAAACCTTTACTTAGTTGTTCAATGTCATTACTTACGTAGAAGATAGCTGAGTATAACCCCAGGAATGTAACTTCCCAAAATGGTGAAAAATGTGCACACACTGCAGACCAGGAGACAAAACTAGAAAGAGAAATAACATGTTGTAGTTATGTAACACCAGGACACACAAGGGCACAGGTGCATACAAAAAGTGCCTATATACAATCTAAACTATTCTTTTACACTTAGGTCTGACAAAGACGGCTGTACTCAACCAGACTTAGTTCACACTACCATTTAGTACCAATCATTTGCAGTTTCCAGAAGCTAACTTCTGGCACCAACTCTCCCATTAATCATGCCTGTGGCCATGTTAGTGCCACAAGCAAGAGAACTGAGTAATAGGTCCACAGAAACTTCTTTTACTGAAGATCACTCACTGAAAATACACAACTGATAACTCAATCTGCAAGTTCTAACTTCTACAGGCCCCACTGAAATACACCAACACAGCAAAATTAGAGGCACAGACATAAAAAGAACTGATGAGCTGCTGGGATATATTTACAAACCATTAGTACCCTCCTTTCTAATTATACCCATATCTCAAACTGACCCCACTTCCGAGTCACCATCTGCAAATGAAATGAAGTTTCAATAATGAGGTGTGATTTTTCTTCTGTCAATTATGACCCATACATCTTGGTTGCTTTAAGACATTTAAATCTCAAGACAGAAAAATTCCTCTCCTAAGTCCTTCATTTATTTCCCACACTGTCTTGAAATTAAAGCAAAAAATCATTTATCTTTAAAGTCTGGTATTAAACAAACAAATGTTATCGTTAAATTCTGGTATTAAACTGAAAGAAAATTTATTAAGTGAATTTCAAAGACACATGTGCAAGAGGTACATCACTAAGAGCAATAGTAAGAGGATCTGAAATTCAGATGAACTTTGACTTTTTGTCCTTTGGTACAAGGTTATTTAACTGGACAAGAGGAGAGTAGATGAGCACATAGAACAAAGGTCAGTCATTTCTGAAACAGGAAGGTATGGAATTCTACTAGTAAAATGGAAGTGGAAACACCATGAGGTGGAAAGAAGAAATAAATTTGTAAAAGCATTTCTATATCCAGAATTCAGTTCTACAAAAGAATTCCATCTTATCCACTAAATTTGTAGCTTCATCTTAATTTCATTGACTTGAGGTACATTCAATTGACTTGGGGTAATGAACCCAAAGCAGATGCTTTAAGTTTTAAAACTTTCTGAAGAAGTGCTTGATCATTTCAGTAAAATAGGCATGAAAAATGTTAGCTTTCCGCCCCACCATATGGATTCACTACATCTATTCTAAAAACCATCTTCGGTAATTAAAATAATATCCATCTACTGCCACTTTACTATGCTCATTATGTACCCAAGTATAGCTCTATTATTTAATACCATGAAATTAGGGCTTTCCTTTACATGGCACAAGGAGAGGGGTATTCCTGGGCCCTCCCTGCCAACTGCAGGTGGACACTGTAGACAGCATTAGAGTCTGCTAAGGCCTCAGCGCTCACCCCTGCTATCCAGGTCACAGTAGAAAATGCCTCTATACCTGCTGTGACTCTTCATGGGTTTTCATCTCATCAACTAAATACTCCATAAATGCTGCCAAAGATTTTCTTTCTTAAATAAAATCTCTAATTTTCAGATTGAGAGGCTCAACTACATCTAAAAGTGCCCTCAAGGATTATGTGTCCATGTCACCTCCCTGTGACTTCAAAACCAGGATAAATACTATAAATGGAAATTCTAAGAATATTTTTTCCTCCTTGGCCTCCTTGCTGAGAAGACCAATCACCATCCATTTTAGTTAATGAGCAAGATAAATATGAAAAAAATAGAAGAAAAATTACAGCCGTTGAGTGTCAGAGGACATGAAATACAGAGAAACCAAAAGTACAAAAGGCCACATAATCTTCAAAACAAACAAACAAAAAAAGGATAATATAGAACACCATCTAATTTCAAAATATGAGACTGAAGATTTTCTAGGGCTAACACACTAAGCATTTCTTTCTGAAACTCGCTTCTATGACACGTGCTTTTATGATAACATTTATTATCTTGATAAATTTGTTTGTTTCCAAGTTTATTGCACATTTTAAAGAACAGTCATTATTCTCCTATACTGGAAAACTTGCCTTGCCGGGGCTCTGCTGTTTAAAATGAGACATTTCTTGGAGAAATACACTGAAATTCATCCATGATTCTGCAATACAGTGGCTGAGCCTGGGTCTTTCCTCTGGTTTGGAATTGATCACTTCCCAGCTAAAGAGAGAAAGAGAAAACAAACAAAAAAAAATGTTCATTGAACTTTTGGATAATTCAACATTTGATGCTCCAGAAAAAATTAATTGAGCGCTTACTGTAGACTACACTTCCCTGTAAAAGGCCTATGAATTCAGGTGAGCAAGCCACATACCCAACTAGCGAAAACTCACATGCAGAGAGAGGAGAGGCAGGCAAAGTAACTGGCTACACAATTACCCAATGACAACAAAGGAAAATCTGAGGAAGAGGTGGGAACTTTGGGACATCAGAAGGCTTGGGAGAATTCCAGATTGAACAATGTGCAACATAAGCAGAATGAGAACGTGCTAACGGCACTGTTTCATGGAGCCCCAGGTGTGGTTGCAAAGTGAGCCAGAAGAATGACATTGTGGATAGCTGGTGTGAGGCCCAGTTCATACAGGGTCTTGCAGGTTTTGTTATACAGATGTTTTCAAGTTTCAGGATCAGGAAGTGTTGTGTAACCACCAGGGGCCGGGTCATTGTTGATTTGGGTAGATGGAAAGAGATTTGAGACTTCAGTAACTAACATGCCTTTAATGCTGAATCAGGGGACCAGACACAGTCAGACCAGTAGGCAGGCAGGTAGGCAGGCAGGCAGGCAGGCAGCAACTGAACCCCCAGCCCCTGCAATTCTTCCCTTTAACTCTTGCACCTCGGCCCAGGTGTCTGTATCATAGGTGTGTGGGCCCCGTGCTCGCACTCCAAGTACTTTTGCAACACATTATCACATGTGGGCACTGAAACTTGGGAGGAAAGCCCTCAGGTGGCGGCCATAGAGGCTGGTGGTGGGCAATTGAAAGAACCTGAGTAACCATTTTCCCTACAGGAAGCCATGGTAATTTTAAGGAAGCTTGGAACTGATCTTTATTCAACAAGGCACTTTCAATATATGCCATGATTGGTCCACTCAATAGAAAACTGATCAACTCAACAGGTCCTTGTAATACCTTGTGTTTTTCAAGATCACCTTTTGCCAAAGGTCCCCACGTGACACATGGACCAGGCAGCATGCTTTGTCACTGCCCTCATTTCCCCAGAGGAACCCCAAATGAGCTAAAGACTAAAGACAATGACTCCAGGAAGGAATAATCCATCCTTGACTAATTCTAACTAGGCCGCTGTAGTCCGAACACATGTTAAAAGCAAGCATCAAAAGATAAAATTGATTTTAAGTAATTAAATTTAAAAATTCAAATTTAAAAAATGTCATTTGTAGGACTACAAAGTGATGAATTGTTATGAACCAAATAACTCAGACCATCAAACTAAAATCTGGATGATATTATTTTAATTTCATTACCTATTTTTTCTCTAAAAATCTACTTATTTAAAGACCATGCTTAAATCTTACAGGAGACAAATTGGTCTTTGTACGGTTTAGTAAGAACAAATTCAAATGGCACTGGCCACCGTTCCAGAGTGAAGTATATTTTATTTCCCACTAGGGGGAGACAGAAGACTAAGAAATGGGACATTCCTCTGCGCCTTTAAAATAGATTGTAAATTTTGTAACTGAACACGAGCTGACAGCCTGTCTCTGTGTTTCGTCCAAAATGTCTTTGAGCACCAGAAAAAATAATGTTGAAACGAATGAATCTTGTCAGAGAACACATACCCCCTCTCCGCCTCACTACCTTTCTTTCATCCCCATAAAATGGGCCTTCAATGCTGTTAACTCTCCATGACCAGCTCCGGGGATTTGGAGACATCTAAGGGGCGATCCCAACCAGAGAAAGCTGACATGTGGGCGTGAAACAATGACACACTCGTTAAGCACGAAAACCACCTTTTTAGAACGAGGAGTAACACTGGGGGAAATAATTCAAAAACTAAGTGGAATGAGATAGCTAGGAGACCTGTTGTAAGAGTCTTCATTCTGGTGCATTTTACAGAATAGTCCATCTTTCTGCATACATGCTGGAATTCAGAAGCCCAAGAGTGTGTTTGTAACGGAAAGTTATTTGTCAAAAGAACCAAGTTGATTTTTGGATATATCAAGATTCTCCCGTCATCTATTCCCTGTCATTTATTCCTTTAGATGTGAGATAATTGCTAATAAGAGACAGGCATGTTGCAGTGGAAGGACAGAAGGGTCTGTTGCAGGGAGGGGTGTATGGGGGGGTGGGAAGGTAGGGGGGACCCAGCAGGGTGTGAGTGCCGGGGGGTGCTGTCGGGACAGGCTCTGGTGGGAGTCCATCCCCTTTGGGCCTTAACTTGGCTTCACTTTGGTGTCTGGCATTTACAACACAAAAACAAGCACTTCATCTTCCAGTGTGAGCAAGGAAGCGCTGGCTGTTTTCAATTGTGAAGTAGAAATAAAGGGTTAGTTACAGGAAAAGATGACTAAGGCGGGAATGGACCCAGTGCGGGTTTTCTGATCCCATGCAGACTGGGTAAAGGAGGAATCAGAGTCCTCCGTGGCTTTTGCAGGTCTTTTATTGGGGTTCACCAGGCATATGGCAGGCAGGAGTGCTGGGGGGCCGGGAGGCTAGCAGGCCTCCCAGCCCCCAGCAAGTCTCCACTCTATCTGGGCTCTCCGACCTTCTCTCACATTCTCTCTGCTCTTCTCATGGCTCTGCTTCCCTCTCGGCTTCTGCTGGCGTTCCCGTGACGCCGCCCTTAAAAGCCCAATCGAATCCCATCTACCTCTGCCCACACCCTACTCCAGGAGCCCGCCATCAGGCATGCATTCAGGACCGTGGGGTTCCGGCATCTATCCTGATGGCGGGAGGGCAGAAAAGTCTGATACCTTTTACCTTACCCTACAATGACACAGAAATTAGTGCGTGTAGGGTAAAGAAAATGTCAGGCTTTTCTGCCCTCCCGCCATCAGGATAGATGATGGATCCTTGTCCTGAATGCATGCCTGATGGCGGGCACCTGGAGTAGGGTGTGGGCATAGGTAGATGGAATTCACCTGGGCTAAGACTGTGCTTTTTAAGGGCGGCGTCACGGAGACACCAGCAGCAGCAGTAGAAGCCGAAGCCAAAAGAGAAGCCGAAAGAGAAGCCAAGAAGCAGCAGAACGAACGCTAGAGAGCCCAGATAGAGTGAAGACTCGCTGGGGGATGCGAGGCCTGCCAGCCTCCCGGCCCCCCAGCACCCTTGCCTGCCATATGCCTGGTGAACCCCAATAAAAAACCTGCAAAACTACTGAGGACTCTGACTCCTCCTTTACCCGGTCTGCATGGGATCAGGAAACCCCTTGTGCCCTGTCCTGCCTTTACAGTGCGACACAGCCTTCCTTAGGGGACAATTTCTAGTGTCATGGAAGGACCAAAGCGGGTGAAGAAGTCGAGGCAGGGCAGCTGGTGGACACTGGCATGGAGGGGGCTAGAGGCGCGAGGGCTGACAGCTCAGGTCCAGCGCTGGGCGTGATGCTGTCGACCTGTGATCTCCTCGCTGCACCCTCACGGCCACCCTGTGACTCTCTGTCCCCCCTCAGGTGAGGGAGCAGAGACATCCACCCTCGCGCCAGGTCACAGAACACACCCTGGAGTGGGGGGATGGAAGTGAGCAGGTTCACAGCCCAAGTGCGAGCCAGGAAGGGCCGTCCCCAGGGGATCACCCCACACCCAGGCCGAGCCGGGAGGACAGCGGAGCAGTGACGTGGAGGACCGTCTCGAATGCCAGGCTGCAGAAACAGAGACCTCCCAAGAGCAGCCTGGCTCCAGGTGAAGCGAAGGGGCCTCCGTCACCACTTCCTCTCACTCCTTCAGCTGTTTCCCAGCTAGACCCACAAGTGGCCCCACGTCCAGTGCCGCCCTCAGCAGGGAGCTCGCCCGGCCCGCGGGCAGGCGGATGCAGGCCCTACTGTCACCCCTGAGTCCTGAGGCTCATGGGGAAGTGCGGAGGCCGCAGTGACATCAACGAATAAAAGACCTTCCCGTGAGAGAGAAACGAGCCCCGTGTTTGGTTTTCCTGGGCAACCTCAACCCATGAGAACATTTTCAGATACTGTTATCTCTGCTCTTTCACACACACCCACACCCCACACATACCCACACCCACACGTGCACACCCCACTGTAGGGTAAATGAAAAAATTGCCAGGCTCTTCCGCCTTCCCGCCATTAGCAGTAATGACGGATCCGTGCGGGCCTGCAGGCCTGCCTGATGGCGGCACCTGGGCTGAGACTGGCTTACAAGGGCGGCGTCACGGGGACGCCAGCAGAACCGGAGTAGAAGAGAAGGGAGAGCAGAACCAGCAGAGGCCACGAGAGAACGCCAGAGAGCCCAGAAAGAGTGAAGATTCGCCAGGCCTGGGAGGCCTGCCAGCCTCTTGGCTGCCCTCCACCCCCCGCACCCCTGCCTTGTAAAAGCTCAATAAAAGCCTGAAAAGACATCGAGGGCTGCAGGACTCTCCTTCACCCGTCTGCCCAGATCACAGAGAACCTGCTCTGTGCCTTCCTGGCACCACACCCAACACATAACACATACACACACCCCCACACTCACCCCACACACACCACATACACCACACACACACCCCTGTCTGGTCACTTTAGTTTCCACCTTCCCAAGAACTCACACTGCAATCATCCTTTCCAAAGCTGTTAATAATTCTGCCACAATGAGGGGGAAAAAGCACAATGGACTCTAAGGCTACCAAAAAGGGGTATGTGTGGGGTGGGGGTCTGATGGACAATTACTGGGGTTTGGGTGGTGGGTAGAGTGAAATAAACATTTGTGGAGGTGTAAACCTATACCCCAAAGATATATAATGTGAGGTAAATCAACATTACCTCAATAAATATAAAATAATTCTGCCATCCCACCTCCAGATAATACACATTATTCCACATTATTTGGGCTCATTTTTAATCTATAGGAAGTGGATATAGAAGTCAAGCAGTGTATATGGTGCCAAGATCCCACACTGACAAGCTTTCTTAAAGGGGGGTTTGTTATCCCCTCCGTTGTCACCTAGCAACTGGGACAAGCAGCTGCTTCAACCATCACACCTATAAATACGTGT